TATATATATATATATACTATATATATATATATATATATATATATATATATAATATATATATATATATATTATATATATATATATATATATATATATATATATATATATATATATATATATATATATATATATATATATATATATATAATTTTGCAGTTGGTGAAGCTACAAGTCAAGTCATTGGTATTGATGTGGACCCGTCAATCAATTAAATTGATGAGGACCACAGTTACTATGCTCAAAGCATGCCTTCCACAAATCTTGTGCAAGAGATTAGCTTCACAAATCCTGTACCAGAGCCTGCCTGCAGCAGAGGCCATGACCTACCATTGCAAGACAAAAACTTGCAACCTAGCCCCTCAACCTCCTCTCAGAAAAAGAAAAATAGAACGTCATTATTTGATGAAAACCAGTATGACCGACCCAACAGGAAAAATAGAACCAGTGAAGAGTAAGAAAATAATAAAATATTTTGGAGAACACGGCAACAGCAAGTTGATCCTGAATTTCTTGGATGATACTGTTAACCAATTTCTTTCTTAGCCTTAACCGATTTCTTTCTTAGCCTAAATCAGTCAACAAATTCAGCATCGCTCATTGCTGTAAATGGGTTCATGCAGTCAGCTACAATTCTGCGGAGTCGTCTTCTGTGTCGTCGTCTCTGCACTTCCTCCAACCTTGCCTGTGCCTCTTGTCTATCTTGGTCTCCTAAGTTATTCCAAAAATTCCTGATCCGATTTCCCCCCCACCCGATTCTTTTTCTTAAAAATTTCCTTTTGCCAATTCAACCCGTTAGTTAAAAACACCGGGGAAATACAAACTTTCACATGTTTCCAATGTAATTTAAAAAAAAAACTAATGTACAGTAATGCATAAAATAATAGGAAATGGCCTTTAAGTGCTGATATGCCTTTATTATATTATCATGGGTTAAAAATTGTTTTCAGAGAAAACAAATTTATAAACGCCGCAATTTCAATACTATGTTTTAAAGTGAGACGGTCGTATTTATGGCAAATGTTTTAAAAAGTTTTATTTATAAGTTCAAGTAAAGTTAACCTAACCTAACCTAACCTAACCTAGCATAAATTATCACATGCCATGGGCGAACTTACTATTACTGAGACGGGGAAGCTGCTGTAAAGTCCTTTATATTAGCCAAAATACTGTATCATATATGCTTGAGGCACATTTTCATTAAATAATCAAACTCCATCTTCCAGTGAACTTGATTTATTATGCACCTAATTCAGCCAAATTGAAGTTTGCCAAAACGAAATAATGTAATTGGTGATGAAAAATTAGAGCTTGCAGTATTTTCACATACGGTATTATATCATGATCCACTGTAACAAAGGTGTTTTTTAATGTTATGTTACCATCCTTGTAACAATGTCCTCCCAGTGAAATTTGCCTCTACCCATTTTAATATTTTTAGGCATAAACTTTCCGTTCATATTTTCCAGATAGAAACTCACTTATAAAACTGCTAAAAAGTTGCATTAAGTAATTTAAATGGACTTACTTTATTAATATATGAAGCATAAAGTTTGGAGACGATTTTCTTCCAGTGAAATTTGCCTCTATCCATTTTAATATTTCTAGGCAAGAACGTCACTAGTTTATATTTTCCTGACAGAAACTCGCTTATAAAACTGCTAAAAATACCTAATAAATTACCGTAAATGTGCTTACCCAATTAGTACTAGCGTTAGTAAGATGAGATGACTCCAGCAGCTTGCACTTGGCAGTAACAGATTGACCGGGTGCACAGCTTTTGCACTGTCATAATATGGGCCATAAAACCAATACTGTAAAAAAATATACATTTATAAAATTACCAATGCGTGTTTCTTTGTACATTAATCGTATTGACTATAAATATTCAATAAAACAAAATAATTATGAAGAGGGTGACGAAAAGCAGCTAATATGTATCCCGTCAGGGTATGAGTGTGTGGTAATAACAAGTCGCCACTTTGTTTCTTGGCTAATGTATAAAATTATCATAAAGAAGCTACACCCTGATAATGTTAAAGTCGTATTGTCCTGTGATTGATGAAGAGTTGAGAATCTCAGGTACCGTGTATTGCTAGTGCACAAGTGTGCCATTTGTAAGCTTGTTATGTGGTGTGTTGTTTTAAAGTTCTAAGTAAGTACTATTAGTTCGTTTTCATGCCACCACACTCATTCGTGCGCTGCAGTAAACGGTTTTTCGCAATTAAAAATAGGGCTTTCAACATGGTCATTCTTACTTTTATCCTCTTCGCCACTGATCGGCTCGCTAGCCGCCCGGGCGATCGGTCACGTCTCTGTTACACACTGTTGGCAAGTACTGGGCATGCACCGGCTCCTGAATGTACCTGAACCCGCTCCAGTGTTGGTCAAGTCTGGTCTTGAAAGAGCTCACACTCGGTGCCGTCACAACACTCTCTGGTAGATTGTTCCAAGAGTTTACAACTCTCACTCTGAAAAAGTTTGCCCTCACAGTTTTCTGGACCTGAGGCTTCTTCAATCTTGAGCTGTGACCCCTTGTGGGGCGAGTGTCCGCCAGCTCCAAGTAAGGACACTCAACTGAGTAGTGCCCCCTGAGATGCTTATAAACCTCAACTAGGTCCCCCCTTGCCCGTCTGTAGTATAAGCTAGGCAAGTTCAGGCGCTCCAATCTCTCAGGGTAGCTGAGGTGCCGAAGTGCAGGCACCAGTTTGGTGGCCCTCCTTTGAACATTTTCAACCAACTGACAGTCCCTAGCATATCTCGGGGACCAGATGGGGTGACAGTACTCCAGATGGGGAAGCACTTCACTCCTGAAGATCGTCACGAGGGACGGACCGTCTAGATATCTGAACGACCTTCTTATAAGACCCAATAATTTATTTGCCTGATTTACCTTCTTCTCACAATGGCCCGAGAACTTCAGCTCATTGTCAACATACACACCTAGGTCCTTCTCACACACAGTCTCAACTAGTACATTTTCTTCATCCCGTTGGGACATATGATACGCCTCCTTACCGTTGGTACGCCCCAGGTGCATCCTCTTACACTTCGTGACATTGAATCTCAGCAGCCATTCCTTCGACCATTCCTGGAGCCCACAGAGGTCCTTCTGCAGCTCTTCACAGTCCGCTTGGTTCTTAATTTCCCGAAATAACTTGGCGTCATCGGCAAACATTTGTATGGAGGAGTGTACAACGTCAGGCATATCATTTATGAAACAAACAAACAACAGCGGGCCCAATACACTACCCTGTGGTACCCCACTTGTTACAGGTACAGATGACGATTTCGTGCCATTAATCACCACACATTGCTTGCGGTCATGTAAAAAGTCTTCTATCCACGCTAGGACATTTCCCCGAATTCCGTACCCTTCCAGTTTGATTTTCAGCCTTTCGTGGGGTACACTGTCGAAAGCCTTGGCAAAATCTAGGTAAATATTGTCGATATTACCACCTTGTTCTAGAATATGGGTCCAAATATCCAATACCTTGAGCAATTGTGTCTAGCAAGAGCGCCCCGGCATAAAACCGTGTTGGCAATCTTTTACAAGGTTGTTTCGTAGTAGATGTTCCATCGCGGCATCTCTGATAATACTCTCAAGTACTTTACATATTATGCTGGTCAGGCTCACCGGTCTATAGTTGTTCGTGGAGTGACTATCGCCCTTCTTGAAGATAGGACTCACATAAGCCACTTTCCATTCACTGGGGACCATTTGTTCATCCATGCATTTACAAAACAGAATCTTCAGGGGCTCTGCAAGCTCGTTGCACAGCTCTCTTAGCACTCTAGGATGCACCATGTCTTCAAGGGAAGATGTTGTTCAATAATACGGCCGTAAGAATGAGGTAGACACACACAGTTCAGATGAGAACCTGGACCCCACAGCAGGTATTATTAGTAGCAGAAGTAAGAGAACTATGGCAGGCAAACACTCCAATATGCTCAGGTTACCGAAATCGACACCCCAAAGTATTTTGGTGCTTTAGATTTAGTTTCACATTGTTAGTAAGTACAATTGGTAAAGTTGCTTCTACCAACTGCTCGATGCCTCAGAATGTTAGGTCATTTATTTTCTTCATTCCCAGTATCATGGGGATCATGATAGGTTTAAGTGTGGGGGCAGATATGATATGAGGAACTCCAGACAACAATTTAGTGATCTAGAGTATTTTTTAATTTGGATATGTATTTTTGTATGTCCCGAGGGGAAAAAAATATATTTTGTAGATTCTAAATGGGGGTTTGGTACCAGGGAACGCAGCCCGGCCCGGGGGACGCCACGGCTTGTTATTGTTTACTTTATGAGAAGGCGCGTTAGCGAAGCCCATCAACAGGTGTGCACCGAGTAATTTTAGCTCTCTCAGGGTGTTTGATAGGTTGAGCATAATGAGTGTTATATGAAGAATGTGATGAATGCATGGAGGTAGTTTGTAAGCCAGAAGGCTAATAAAGGCATTACTCTAGACATTCATCCCCCGCCACCCCTGAATAAGTCGGAGCCAAGCGTCCACCACTTATTATGCTGGTGGGTTAGGTTTATTGTTATGTACTGTTAATTTGCTACTATTATGTTGTGCCAATATGTGATTATGACAACAGTTGATGCTTATTTTGTATGTACAATGTATAATGACTAGTTATGTCTGATCTAGGTCCTAGACTTCCCTTCCTCGGGTGTTTTCTCTTGTTAATAAAGGAGAGAAAATTACAAGTGTGTGTCATATCCCTACTATGGCAACCTGCTGCTTATATATATATATATATATATATATATATATATATATATATATATATATATATATATATATATATATATATATATATATATAATATATATATATATATATATATATATATATATATATATATATATATAATGGAAATTTCCCATTTTCTTTGATACCTCAGGCATGCACAGAAATATCAAGAGACAACTTGGCCATATCTTTTACAGAATTTCACGCATTTCTTCAGAAAGAGAATAAACAAAAATAAACTAATTCATAATATTTATTAACCTTTTATCTGTTTAACAGACACGGTGAAGCTCAGGTGATGATGAAAACAAAACTTTTATGTCAGAGCCAAACAGCAATGTGCTTCATCATACCATTTACTTAAGTTCATATACAATATACTGTACCAAAATATGTTTCCTGCTTTGTTATGATCTACAAGTGCCAATGCTTCCCCTGTACAGGTACTGTGTACGGTATATATTGAGTATAGTACTTGTGTACATATGCACATATTAGAATATAGCTGATTGGGGTCAGAAAGTTATAGTGAAAAGTATGAAACTACGTACTTCTATGTAACAATAGGAGTAGATGTGGCATTGCACCAGTGAGCAAAAATGGTAGTCACTAATGATGTAATAAAAAGTAATGTCGTCACAAATGTTGGTGAATGCATTATTCATGTCTGAGAGTGTGCTGTGAATTCTTTTGGAATGCGGAGTGTGATAAAGCAGCATAAAAGTTGTGAAGTGCTGGGAGCAATGTGCAACCCATTTGCCCGAAGAGTCAACTGCCAAGAGTGGTTTAAGCTATGACTCATGAGACATCTGTATGTCATGTGACTGACTCATGGACTTTCGTCAGTCCAGTCCCACAATCCCATGGTGGAGTTACAATTTGTGATATACTGTACTGAATTTTTTGAAGAAAAAAATCTGTTCAAGTATCATAATATACTAATACAATGTGTAGAGTAAACAATGACTCAAGAGTGCGATTCATAACTTGCTATGATATTTGAATATCACATTTACCCACCTAAATCTATCATACAAATAATAATGTCTATTTTATGAAAAAAGAATAAATAATTATAGTCAAGTTAATATCTTTCTAACTGAAAGACGAGAAAAATGACGACTTGCCTTGCTGTGTTGTTGAAGTTTAAGATTTGTAAATGGGATGGTCAACTAAAATGACAGATAATAAAATGAAATGACAAAATAAAATGGGGGGGGCCTCACTTGGAGCAGTAAAAGATATTTTTCATGTACTGTTACAGTTTTCTAAGGACAAATTTGTAGCAGGCTTATTCACAAAGATGGAGAAACATTATACATCGTCATGTATGACATGAATGTTCTTGGCATACAGTACAGGAGAACTTTGAACAGTAGAGATCTGTACAAAACATGAAAATTCTGATTTTTAGTACATAATCACTTAACCTATAGAGGAGATTTAGTAATCTATGGTATGATGAAGCACCCTAATGCATCTATGTCCAGTAATACCATCATCTGAGCTTCTGTACTATGCAAGCCTTCCATTCTGGAAGGAACAGGAACAAATATTTGATATAGTCAAAAGGGAGATGACTGTACACCCAAATGACCTAATTGGTAAATGTTTATCCATATTCAATTTTATAGTTACAACTCATCTTTCATATCCACTTTACATTCTTGACACTTAAAACATTATACTGTTCATTATATGGAAGAAAATAGCAAAAATACAATTCATATTCATAAGACAAATCTAAAGACTTGAATGACTGGCTGGGAGCCGACTTAATTTAACTATGCATGTAAAAAAATAAACTAAACAAGCAGATTAAAGGGCACAAATTTTCTTGGACAATACTTGAGAAAAAAATTTGCACCAATACCTGGGAATTCTTCAAGTTTACAATTTTTGTAGGAAGGGAAACAATTACCAGTACAGTACAGTAATTTCAAAGCTGTGATACTTACCTCAATAAGATCTACATAAATATCTTTGACATACAGGTATGTATGATGCATCAAAGTATAAAGGCGGAGTTACACGGGCACCTAAACTGGCAATTTTTCAAACCAAAGAGCAAATCCGGTTATAGATTAGGAGATCCAGCTAGTGTTTCTGGTTTCTTTCAACTCCGACATGTCGGTCTTCACTTGCCTGAAATCGGAGAGTTCCGGGTTTGAGAGATTCTGGCTAACGGAGATATTACTGTATTGATTTGAAAGCAATATGTACATCATGCTAGGACACGCTTCTATTCCTCCTATTAAGGCATGGACGAGTCCACAAACATTTTCTTTCTAGCCTACTTTTGATACAGCCCAAAATAACAACTACTGTATAGTTACCACATAACAGCAATACGGTGAACAAGATCTATCTTAAATATTTATGTTTGTGTGATGCTGGAATTTGACATGCCTCATGATTTGCTTGCTGGTTTGAAAAATTACCAATTTACGTCTTCATAAAATGCCGGCTAAAGTGAATGATTTTGATTCCATACAATATTACATCTCAACTCTTACACTGAAAAGAAATTTTGCATTTGTAAAATTTCATATACAAGTACAGTACTGTATTACTTTCTCTACAGGACACCTCCCTACCAAACTGCAAATATTAATGGTTTGTGGAATAATGACTGATTACAAATAAACTAAATATGTTAACTAGTAACCAGAATTTGAACTCAAAAAACCATGGTTCAACAGTAATTTTTAATATTTAGAACCTCCAGAAATGTTTTATCATCCAAGTGTAATTTAACAGAATAAAAACTCTACCTTACAGGGGCTTTGAAGAAAGAGCTGCTAAAGGTATCCAAAACTAAACTATTTTAAAACACTGTACAGTATATATAACTATGTAGAATTGGAGGTGTCAAGTAGTTTTCCTCTAGATATTGTTTTTGACTGCACAACATACTCAGTACACTGAGTTTTAAAGACATCCCTCAAGAGGTGCATGTGCTATGCTCCTACCGACCTTACGACTAGACTGTCAAAAGCACCTCCCAGTCGGTGGTAAGCAGAACAATGCTTTAACATGAGCAGCTGTTCTAAGTTATACCAGTAATCAAATATACTGTACATAGAAACAAGAATCAAAATACTTGAGGAGAAATGTTGAAGATATCTTACCAAAGACATTCAATTGGAAACTATAACCAACTTATCGTGATATTTCAAATACATATACATGATTTTCTTGCATCTACTCCATGTTGGACACTTGTGGTTTATTCCAACTAACAAATTTGGGAAAAATAATTATGGACAGGAGCAGAAGCAATGTACACTTATGCAGTGATGGCATAATGAAATTGGGAATTATTCAAAAATTTTATAAAAAAAAAAAGTAAATAAAATAAAATTCTACATTTAAAATAAATTGTTATGTGGTTACACAAATGTGAAATAAAACCTATTTAATCTGAAAAGGTTAACATTTCTCAATACCAACAATGATGATGATGATATAAGAGGCAAGGTATAAACTCGTTTTCATTTTATGCAGGCTAGCTAAAAATTATGGTTCAGGCATGAACCAAATAAGAGAACCACAAATTCTTCTTGATGCTCTTTCCACAAAATAATTTACATAACACGAACCCTTGACTTAATCTTCAACACGATTTCATTTTATTATGAATATAATAACCAGCTTTGAGTTGGTATTTACTGTGCCCAAATCAATAACATGTCTCAAACCCCAAACCAAGTGCTGGATTCCCAAGTAAGGGGTAATAGCACCATACTGGTATTACAGCGCATGATGAATGTATATTTATTGTCCCGAATGAACGATCTCTTCAACCAGAAGGATACCACCTCATGTACAAAGCTGAAAAAAACAGATCATAATCGAAACACACATAAGCATGTACATGTATCTGAAAATAGAAACACACACAAACATATATATGAAAATAGAAACACACACAAACATATATCTGAAAACTATGTAAATAATGAAAACTAAAATTCCATGCAGCAAATTATGTACTGTATGTCCAATTTCAATGCCACCTCATAAAAAAATATAAATCTGCTTTTCTTTATGCTGGCCAGTTTGAAAATCTGCATTATGAATGGGTCACAAAAGACACCTATTGGAATGTATATAACTCCAAACTGACAGTAACACTACCATTTAACATTTCGTTTACACTAAGTGAGACAAACAATAAAACATCAGTTCCATTAAATATGAAAAGAAGTCCAAGTGATGAAACAATCTTAACACTCCATGCTATGAGACATATAAATCATGTGTTATACAGAAAAACCCAACTAGAAGACAGGGTGTTGTAGTCACCTAAAGAATATTAATTCAATATACTGCAATGACAAACTTTACATACGCACAACAAAATAGTGTTATGTAACTGCTACCATCACATATGAGGTGTGATCCAAAAGTTCCCAGACTGGCTTCATAAAACATTTCTCTTAGCAGATATTGAATTCAAATCATCAGCAGTTACACGCCTTGGGTAGAAGTTGGTTACTGCATCGATTTGGTGGGAATCTGTCACCAACCGGCCATAGTGCAGCTTTGTGCTAGTGTGTTTACCAGCCCATTTGTTAATTCGAGTCAGTCGCCACTCAATCCTCAACATGGAGGGAAGTATCGAGCAATGCTGTGCCATCAGATTTTGCTTCAGACTAGGAAAAATTGGTGCAGAAACCCATGAAATGATCAAGGAAGCCTACAAAGATGAAGCAATGTCCAGGGCTAAGTTTTCAGGGGGCACAAGCACTTCAAAGAAGGGTGCACCTCCTTTGAAAATGAGCTTTGCTTTGGGCAGCCTTCCGCTGAAAGAAGTGATGAAAATGTCCAGAAAAATTACCAACGTGTCCATGAGAATGTCGAGCGGTTGAACCTTTCATATGGCATATTAAACAGATTCTGACTGATGACTGGCAATTGGTTCCTTCACCAGGACAATGCACCTACACACACTGCCCTCACTGTGAATGATTTTCTGGCAAAGCACAGCATCCCAGTGGTCCCCCACCCTCCATGCTTTCCAGATCGGGCCCCCTGTGACTTCTGGCTGTTTCCCAAGTTCAAGTTGAACCTCAAGAGGAAGAAGATCTTGGACAGAATGCAGATCCAGGACACATCTCAGGTGTTCTCCAGCCTCACCAACAAGGACTTCCAGATCTGCTTCCAGAAGTGGGAGGGGATTCAGCACTGCATTGAGGCCTCTGAAGAATATTTTGAGGGTGACTATAGTTTCACTGTAATATCTTAAAAAATAAAGATTTTATGAAGCCAGTCCTGGAACTTCTGGATCACACCTCGTACAATATATAATTTTTTCTATAATGTTTCAAGTTTTTACACTCTTCACTTACAATGGTATGGACATTATGCAAATAGTACTACATGAAATAATGTAAATATTTTTTTCTCAAAACTAGACAAATATTCCTAAATCTATGACGCACAGGTATTGTTGAAACCAGCATATTCATAAATGTAATTTTCCACTGTACAGTATATGCAATGTTGTAGAAGTGAAATACATAACCAATAATTATTAACTTCTCATTCTGACCGAATACTTATATCTGCCATCACATTAATGAGGCTAATAATGTCATATTTGTAGAATGGATTGGTGGAACTTGAGAAGCAAATGGACTGATCTTCATTTCATTCCTGCATTACAAAGTTCCAAAATTATATCTCAAGAACTAAAGACATACATTTTAGAATTATTAAAAAGTAATCTATCAATGTCAGAACAATGTAACAATGCACAGTACTGTACTAAAAAGAAATTACAGTAGTGATAATATTAAGTTAACAGGTAGACTCCACATTCAATGATGGAAACTTAAATTTTAACAACACAAAGTGGGCACGAATTACAAAAATGTACCAATGTGGTTTCACTACAAACAACAAAACTCTTTCATATATCATTGTTATTGGCACAATTCTGATGCTAGTACACTAAATTTTAATGTTCATACATCCTTTGTCCATTTTTCTTCATAAGATTCACATCAATGATCACAGAAACAAACTTAATAAAAAAATAATAATAATTACTGTAAACAAACTCTTATACCACTCGGCTTTTCTAATGTTAGCAACAAATTGCCTCCCACAGTTCACACTTAATATACAGTACAATATATCAACCATTACTTGCACTTACATTCTCTTCACTAGCATTAATTTACATCTCTAGAGTACCTGCACCAGCTAAGATTCTGAATAAAGTATTTCCTCAAGATAAATCATATCATTGAAAGATTAACAAACTAGACACCATCAGGAATGTCAAAGCAATCATTAACAAGTTCAATATCAACATTCAATCTTTTACACCAACTATTCTCGAACATAGGGTAGATCCGTGATCAAAATAGGTTATTCCTTAGTTCCATCTTCATCGTCGTCTTCACCATCACCACCAGTGTTTTGTGGCCATTTTCGATACTTGGGTTTCAGGATGTTAAGGACAAACTTTTAGGCATATGAAAAGTAATACAGTATAAATACCCTACTAGCTTTGCAAGGATCTAAGACTGATATCTGGGCTTTATCTGCTGAGCATTTACCCCTAAGCCATTGTGTACCATACATACTGCATAAATAAATTAACAGACCAAAACTACTAGCTCGATGTATCTCACGAAGCACAGTATAAACTTAATATATATGTAAATATTCTGGAGACAATAGATATTCTGGAAATATCTCACTATGACTATCTGGTGCTAAGAACATTCTTTAAAATGAATGCAGGATATTTCAAGGTGAAGATAATAGTAGAATAATGTGTAACATCATAAGATAGGACTAGCAAAAGAATGATAATATACTGTATCTACATTCTGATGCCTCTTTTGAAACTAAGTATGGCATGGATTGTATTCAAAGTACACACATGTAATCGTTTATATAAAGCTATCTACATAATACATCCCTAAGCTGCAGTATAGCCACCTCCAATGCCATCAAATTAAAACACTAGGACACTGACATAAGAATTTAACATGAGGTGGGGGATTCTTACTACGAGGTCTCCACATAATTTGTTTTCAAAATTCCTATCCGATATTGATCCATATATTCCTGTTTAATACAGATTTCAAGTTGCCCCTTCTTTTAACACCCAATAACCAGTACCACTATGAACACTCATTACATCTGCATAACATTGAGACAAGAACTTGTGACATATAACATTATCTGTATATCTTGATCTTCAGAATTAACAATTACAATATCCTACAAAATAAAAATCACAACATAGTACTGATAGTTTCAATGCATTATCCATAAGTAACAGAAAAGTTCAGGTAATTTCTTGCAAGTGTATACTCATTCTTCAGCAACTCCAACATATCAATCTGCACATTCACTTTCATTCTTTACATTCTATTTGGATGCACTTTTTGGAACCAGTCAACTGAAGTTTCAGTCAGTCTGACAATTCATTATAATCAGAACACTGCGGTATTTCTCCTCACAAAGATGAAAAAAGGATATTCACCTCAGTGAAATAAAGTTAATAAATAATAGGTAAGCCTTGGCATCTACAAATACATATATCCTTAAAAATTTTCTTGAAATATTTAAAACACTTTACCTTCTTATATCATTACCAGGTTAACCCCTTTCCTAGTAACACAATACAGTGACACCTTGGACAACAGTGAGATGGTCAGGTTCCTGCATCAACCTCAGGGATAGGTTCTTCTTCCAGTACACTGGGTGACTTTGATTTAGATTTTTTCCTTTTCTTTAGTTTTTTCTCGTCTGTCTTTTCTACAATGCCCAACTCTTCTTCTGTCTTTGTTTTTCGGTTCTTCCCACTGGAATCACTACATGTGCTAATAGTTTCACTACTACTGCTCCCAAAATGTTGAGCCGAGTACCATTCCCAGTTATCGGAACGGAGTCGCACTTTAGTCTTAGTCTTAGGTGATACTTTTCTTTTCTCAATCAAGTTTTTATCATGATTAGTATGCATAAAATCATTCCCTACATAATCTCCTGTGATATGAGAACTATCACCATTAATGCAGGGGGTATCACCAGTATAACTAAATTCATGATTACTATGACTATTAGTATCATCACTAAAGTGAACACTAGTATGACCACCATAATAATATTTTCCAGATTGTTCATCTTGACAATTGTAAGATGTCCCATTAGTCTCTGGATAATAATAATCATGATCATACAATGCTACTGGAATATGACTTTGAGGCACTCCATTATGCAAATTTTCAATCACACTATTCTTGACTTTCTTCACTTTTTTGGGTTTCTTTACCTTTTCTCCATTGCTCTTCAGTTTTTCTGGGGCACCACACACCGAAGATGACTTTGTGAGTTTAATCCCTTTCTTGTGTACGTTATCACAGTTTTGACAAGAAGCAATGGAGTGCCTCTTTGAAGGAACATTGTCTACATTTTTTACTAAATGTCTGTCTAGGCTCATTTCTGTTACAAAAGAACTTGTGACACAGCTGCTATAATCACCACCAGAATCAAAATATCTATGATCCTGTTCATTTACAAAAGGTTCATATGGGATCCCAGACAAATCTGGAGAGTCAGGAGAGGAAACAGGACTACTAGCAGGAGGGGTAGTACCTTTAGTCACAGTGTCATCACCACAAAATAGAACTCCAGCACTTGATAAGTTTAGCTTCTCTAAACGAAGTGATCTTCTAGAGGTAGAGGATTTCTCAACAATACTGGCATTAGACTTGGATCTTTTTAGTGTTCCATTACTGGACTTTTTCTTCCGTTTCCGATCACCAACAGAATCCATCAAGATAGGAATAGCAGGTTCAATAATCAGTAAATCTTGATAGGTACCTGAAATATAAATATATAAAACAATTAAAATAAAGAAGATAAATGAATAATTTTATATGAAACATTATTTGGACATTACATAATGCAGTACCTCACATTTGAAAGGCTTTGAGGATATGATTTATAAGAACATATGCACTGTATTTTCATATGCTGTATTGTAAAGTGATATGACAAGTTTATAATGTACAGTATGTCAAATCTCCCCATAACAATAAATAATGATACTCTATAAAGAGAGAAACATACTGAATAAGTAGAAGAAAAAAAATACAATCCCATTTGCAAATATACAAAATAAACCAGTCGGTTTAAAACAAAACACAAAGTTATTTTCAAGTTATTATCTTAACAAAATTATCATGCAAAATCAACACAGTATTTTCTATTCAAAAGATGTTGAACACTTGGACAGACAAACACAGATGTACAAGAGACTTAATAATAGAACATCTTATCACTGATGTGTAGCAGGATGTGAAAGGTAAGAGCTAACAACAGTGGTGCCATAGCTCTGTTGACAGCACCCCAAACTAGAGTTAAACTACCATTAATTGTCTTTTTCTAAGAAATTGGTAACTACGCCACTACTGTACTTCCTTAGTAAAGGTTCGCTTCTGTCTGTGTTTACCTATTTGAGAGTCCAGTAATAAAGTTTATCATTTAATCCATAGATACTAGCCTGATATATTAAGAGCTTCTTCACTAGGTCTTCGCTGCCGTTGACGTGATGCTCTTTCGCGAGTGATGCTGTCCACCGAACGTCTTCGCACACGACTTCCAGCTTGTTCATTGAGGCAACCAGAATTGTAATGTGCTCTTGAATCAGATGGATCCTCACTTGGTGTCTGAAAAATTTTAACACTAAGACAAAGAACAATAAAAATACTACTGTATACAGTACAGTAGAACAGTACAGTATATAGAAGAGGTACTTGATAAAGAACCACCTAATATAGAGAAAGTAATTGCAAACCCAGCTTATAATTAACACTAATTTCTTTTAGAAAATGAGAGATTCTGTCATTCTGATTTAGCATTACTGGTTAGACCATAATTTTTATCACAAGTGAAGGGAACGTAAAGTAAGTGAAGTATGTTTAAAAGCTGACAAAGTTAGTTGTATATAAATTCCTATTCTGATGACAATTTGAAAAGTTAAACAAAAGAACATCAAGAATTTGGAAACAAAAAAGTAAGATACTGAAGAACACTGACAACCATCGACAGCTGCCTTGAGAGGTTAAAGCTAAGTACGGTACCTCAGTTAATGGTGATATCTCCCCTTATCACCTTGCTATCCCTAGTTTATTATCCACTATCCTTTAATTGCTGTATTAGTGGTGCACAATTATGTATCACACAGTATAGCATCAAACTTCTAACATCTGGGGTGGCTCACCCAAAAGACTTCTTGTCATCATTGGCATCTTGTGTACAGTATTTCATATTCTAATACCCTTTTGTGTTTTTTTTAATCTTTTTCAGCAATTATGTTCCCAGTAGTACAGCATTTTCACCAGGTTTTTCTGTGCCTAACCCATGCACTTTTGGGGTTTTTGATGGATACAGATGGCTTGTAGAGGTGTAAATAATAATATGCAGTACAAGTATAGCGAGTACAGTACCAGCACAGAAGCATGAGCTACTAGTGGCATGTAATAAAGGTGACCCATTACAAAGGGTATGCATAATTAAATTTGTGTCAATCCAGGGTTTATTGTACAGCACTTGTACTGATCTTATCTATTACCATCTCTAGTATAACTGCATGGTTAAAAAACATTATCCTTTCTAATAGAGAACTCAAGAAAATCAGCAACTTTAAATTTCTTCAGTTTTAGAAAGATTTCCAAGGACATGAGAAGAAAATATACAGTGGTCAAGTAAAGACATTCCCAGACTTAATTTTCAGACTGTGGATCCCTGGCATGTGATCACTAAATAGAATATATTAAAAGATATCAAAACTGTGTACACTGGGGTGTAAATTCTTTCATATTACAGTACTGAAAAAAGTAATATAATAATAATCAAAACACTGCTAATACCTGTGCTCGTCTCTCCTGCATGACAGAGTTATCCAGTGAGTAGTGATTACTTCTCCGAGTACACAGAGTGAACACTATGCATAGGACCACCACTTCCACCACCATCAGTAATAAATGCTGTTCTACCACAGTATGAGCCAAGTTTTCCCGTTCTTCGACCAATTTTTGAAGAATTTCGCTGACTTTGGCCAGCTGCCCTTCCAGGGTTTCAATGTCTGTCTGGTGTTGCTGGTCCCGCTGGTATGCCTGCCAAGAAGTGGCATTGAGGGCTGCAATGGTCAGGTTAAACTGCTTTTGCATTTCCTCCATCTGATGCTTATACCGACGGCTTAGCTCTTCCAAGTATTGGCTGCTTATTGACATGTTGTATTCTAAAGCCTGGAAAAAAATCAAATTAACAAAATTAACAATTATGTTGTCACATGACTGATAAGAAAGAACATTCCATGAAGACTCCAAGAAAAGCAGCAACAGTAATCAATTTAAAACTTTAAGTAATACTGTATATATTTTTGAAATGTATCACAGAAGTTTCTTTTCTAAATTCCAATCAACTTTGTTTCACATAAAATGACAGATGAAAATCTCTGTTAAAAGAAAATGGTATCAAACTTGGAGCATGCAGCAGAGTCCTTAGCACTGAAATAGAAGATAATATCAATGATTGGGCAAGATACTGTATCCCAATGAATATAATACATCAGCAAAATATATAATGTACAATATAAATATATCCTGTTCCCACTATTACGCAAAGTGGCCAGACTCGACACACTCATTCGTTTCTCTAACTGCTGCAATAAATGTGCTCTCCTATGGTGATCCCCTTCAGCAACAAGGCTTCAAGGTAGCCATCTGATTTATCCATATAATTCCATACAACCAAGTAGCATCCACTTTCATCCCCTTATGCTACTATAATTATGCTTTTTACCTATTCATATAGAGTACAAACAAACTGCTTCACCTTGGATGTCCATTCCCTTCTTATACAGTATAGTGTCTCCCTCATTCCCATCCTTCTACCTTCATCTCAGTCTTTCCCTCCATCTTACAATCCACTTTTGAGTTATACAATCTCTTTAACAATACAGTGGTCCCTCGATTAATGAACACAATTGGGTCCAGAGTCAGTCGTTAACTGAATCTATTATTTCAATGGGATATTGGGCAATTGGTTCCAACTCACAGAAAAAGTATACATACAAAGTACTGTATACCAGTAATAGAATTAACAAAGCATTAAATATAAACCAAATACAGTACTGTACTATACAGTATACCGTACAATAATAGATAAAAAACAATATTATTTTACTGTATTTTAACTTACTTTGAGGTGTGTATGTCATATTCCCGGCAGCTTTGTTTACATATCAAACAGCTGATTGTTGAGGCAATCGATGATGACATGTCATATTCTTTACAGAGTGCATTGGTTCTAATGCCTTCTTTGTGTTTCATAATAATTTCTGCACTGTATATTATCAATATGTTAACTAAATTTCAGGATGACCAATAATTTCAATGTAAAAATGCAAAAATATTCAAGAGACAACAAACTCAATGTTCACTCCACTGTAAACAAAGTTAAACTGAGAACCGTTGGTGGGTGATTCGATCAGCTGAAGAGCACACAAAAACTGTTCCCTGTACTGTATACCGGTATATTATCAACATGTTAACAAAATTTCAGAATGACCAATACAGTAATTTTAATATAAAAAACGCAAAAATATTCAAGAGCACAACTTTCTTGATATTTACTCCACTGGAAACGAATGTAAACATAGAACCAATTACAGTACTGTATTGGCGGACTAGCCGATCAGCTGATGCGCACAACAAAACGTGTCTCTCGTAAGGCTGTCGTTAATCGAAGATTTGTTCATTAATGGAACTGAAAATCCTTATGGGAGCTAATTCGTTAACCGAAATTTCGTTAATTGAACCGTTTGCTAATCAAGGGACCACTGTACTGTACTTTATTCCCATTCTCTGAAAATGTCTAAACTACCTACTAGTAAGCAAGCCCTGGTTATCTCTCTATCTGATTCTCATTTAATTTTCCATTTCGATGTTTTCCACACTTACAATAATACTGGTTCAAATATTCCTCTACAAACCACCATCTTTGCCTCCTATGACAGTTCAATCTTTCCATACATTTCTTAATGCTGCTGCACAGTTCCTTATACAGTTTTCCAGGTGCCAAAAACAACGTTACTTCTTCCATTCAGTCTCCAGCAATGCTAGTACAGTACCTGTATTCATATTCTTATCTTCATTCTCCATTCATTTTCATCAGGGTTTTTTTTTACAATCATTATCAACTTTTACCTACTACACATTCTTCCAAACTTATTTACTAACATATTAAATTTTTCTTGCATATCAACTACCAGAGCAGTCATCTGAAAACAGCAACTGCCTCACCTTCCACCAACATCCCTCATCCTTGTTCATCAAACTTACACCCAACTCCATCACTTTTGCTTTCACCACTCTTATGGTTAATCTTGAATATATTATAGCAACAATACATATCCTTGATGTAGTCTTATTTCACTAAACACACTTATTCTCACAAAAAAAAAAATTAATAAAATTCCAAAATATCCCTACTATCACATGTTTTCGATATATAAAACTTCCAATATTGCTTTTCTATCTGATCTAAAGCTCAATATTCTAGGCACATTAAAAAACAGAGTAAAATGGTTCATTGAAATACTGTACAAGCATTGGTAGTAAAGATGTGAGAATTCATCTACCTGGTAAACTTGTCCTACTAACAAATACAGTATGCCAACTAAAAGGGAGTTGAAATTGAATGAGGACACTGCCATAACTAAACTAACTAACAAAATAAATAACCTTTTTCCTAGTTAGGTGAAATTTTTAATGTTCTAAACTTTTGAGAACCTAAATCCCAGTCTTACCTTTATCTTATTTGAGAGACGAACAACTACTGACTCTTTATTAGTTGTAGATTTTGACAAAACTTTGAGCTCAACATGTGGGTGAGCAACAGGAGGTGGAGATGGTGTTGTCAGTTCTTCACCGTGAGAGAATTCCTCTTCTTCTAGCTCGATTCCTCCAAAACCTGAACCCTCCACCTCCACATCCTCTTCCATCTCAGTTATATTGTTCTTCTCATCTGCCTCTTTAACAGCTTTGTCTTGATGTCTAGTTCCATTTGCCTTAGCTTTTTTGGGAGACTTTAGTGTCTCATGGGCCGATTTTTCTGAAGCAGTTGTAGATGTTGATTCATTTGCTTTTTTAAGTTCTTTTTCTAATAGCACTTGTCCACTTTCAGTCTCTTGACCTAGTTTAATCCCACGAGCTTCGAATATCTCACTATTATTGGTGTCAAGTGCATCTGCTCTCGTTACTCTAGAAGTATTTATTTTTGCATTTTTCACATAAGAAGGAACTTCATCTCCAGGTGAAATAATATCAGAAGATGCAGCCGAGAAGTTTTCAGATAAACGTGAGCCAGTGGAGTCGCAAGCCACTTCTGTATCCATAATACGATTATCATGCATAAAGCACATGGCCAATATGTGCTTTGGGGATAACATAACACATACATAACTGTTGTTGCACACTGTGTCATACACAATGCTGTCATTAATTTCTGGTTCTAGGCACATTGTAGAAGCCAACTGACGACAAAAGCTTGAATTCTTGACAGTAGAAGACACAAAAGGCTTCTGCATTAGAACTTCATACTCTGTACGGTAGCAAGAGAGGATGTAGTTGAGTGACTGGGCCATAGAACATCTAATGTTATCCAGAGCATATTTTGGGTGCAAAGAATAGCAGTTATCATCGGGCTCGCTGGAACTGCTACTTGGTCGATACCCTCGCTTAATAACATCTAATACTCCAGTAAACATGTTTTTTAGTACTGCTGGAATCACACTTGGTTTTCCTTCATCTGCAGGTAAAAGAAAGACATTAATAATACTGCATTTATAAACTACAGTAAGTTATTTTGTACTCTATATTCATTCTCAAGTAAAAATAGACACCCATTAATCTTGGCTGGACTTGTCAAACTCACTATATAATCCAACATGTATTAATGATGTTCTCAACTACCTTCTGCATTATTGTATTCTATATCCCTCTACTTAATTTTACAGTCTATTTCTTAAAACGTGATCATAGTATTCAATACATTACACATAAATTTTCATCATGGCATATGAATATTTCACAATTACTACTACATTACTCTCACACAGTCATTTTGCCTCACTGCACAAAAGGTCCTACTGTACATACAAATACAATCTCATACCTTTAGATTTTTTCCTGGCTTCTTCTTCCTCAAACGGTTCACTAAAGGTTTCATCATTATCATCGTTGTCTGTCGAGTCCTCTATGGTGTCAATCACTTCAAACTCAGACAAGCCATATATCCGAAAAAGAGATATTGGACAGAAGAATTCAGATCCATAATGACTTAGAACTTCCACCTGAAATGAATGAAAAAAAAATTTTAATTCAAAATCAATGATCTTCAAACAGAACTAAAGAAAAACTAGACAAAATTGAAATGAAATTCTGATAATAGTCACTAATTACACTATAAAAGAATTTTCAATGTTTTGAGATCACATTAAACCCTCGATAACTCTCGGCATTTGATAACTCGGACTTTCATATACAGGGTAACTCGGCATGGATATGGTCTCGGAATGTTTTATATAGGGTGTTCCGTAAATACCTTTCATAAATCAGGGGGTACATTCCTGAGATAAATGACTAAATGACCAAATTGACAATTCTCAATAGTTTCAGAGTTACAGCACATGACAGGTTTGGTAGGAATGTGATGAAACCTATGGTTACCAGAAATAAATCTCCTTGATTTCTACCTGTAGAGGCCACATAAAAAGCAAGGTGTATGTTACAGAGGTCCCAAACCGCAAGGAATTGTGGTGCCGTGTACAGGAAAGTGTGTAAAACATTCTTCACACCCCGGGGTCTTTGAACGTGTGCAACACTCATTTGTGCAAAAGGCTGAAGCCTGCATTGACCAAGAAGGGCAGAACTTTGAACATTTGCTCTAAATGTTAATCCCAGTACAAATCATATGGCATATGGCATTATTTTTGTTAATAAGCGACACTAACAGCAGTGGATGTTTCATTTACACCCCATATATTGTATTGTAGGTTTTATCACATTCCTACCAAACCATCATGTGCAGTAACTCTGAAACTATTGAGAATTGACAATTTGTTCATTTTGTTATATATCTTTATTTATCTCAGGAATACACCCTCTGATTTATAAAAGGTATTTACGGAACACCCTATAGTATAACTCGGGAAATGCCGAGATATATAAAATTGTCTGGGAAAATCTCTGCATATCTGGCCCCCTGCATCACCTACTATGATGCTTCATTCTTCGCCTGCAGTGCTGGTAAGTGGTACTTTTAAACATTTAGTAATTACATGTACAGTCGGGGTCAAAAGTTTGCTCCCTCCCAAAATGAAGCAGAGTCTACCCCAAATGAGATGAACCAGCACAACCGCAGCCAGGATAAGTTCAGAGACTCATTCCCATGACTCAGTTTCATCACGGGGAGAGAACTTTTGTCCCCGCCTATACATATATATGGGTTAATAAATTTTTATTGTATTTTTTTGAAGGATGGCGAAAGTGCCTTGATAAGTCGGAAATTGGGTTAACCCAGCAAGGCCAGAGCCCCAAATGTGACGAGTTATTGAAGGTTTACTGTATTTATTACAGTTGGAAGAATGGATGAAAAACTGACTGAATAAAGAGTGTTTTCTTGACTCCAGCAAGATTCCATTAAAGCAAGACACACAAAAATAAATCAGCCATCAAATGATATAATATAAATTCTTGGGTACATCCAGGGTGTCATCCATGAATAATAGAGTACCGCAAAATAAAAATCCGCAAACTAGGGGGGCCCCCTGTACTGTACACAATAAAACACTGATTTAACAAAAAATTACATCTCTAATGCCCTTAATACATACAATAAAAACAAAGCCAATTTTCAGTAGAGTACTATATGCCATAATAATTACCTTTATGTACTTGAAGAAATCATCTGTGTCAATGGGAAAGGACTGGACACCACGGTTTCCTTCCTGTCCCATAACACGGCTTAGGTTCGCCCAGTCTCTTGTAGGGTATCGGTGACTTCCAAGCACTTGAATGTCTTTAGGCAAGTTGCTGAACAGTTCAAAGTTTGCAATATCAAACTGAAAGCATAAATAAATATGGTACAGTATATTGTAGAATTTCATGGGACATACTATTATACGGGTTATGAAATCTTAAAATAGTTAGTAAATGGCTATATATTTTATTACCATAAAGACTTTACAGTTTGTATGAAAATAAAGTTATTATGGTACAATAAGGATACTGCAACACTACACTGCATACTATTTGAGCCCACAGAATCAAAAAAGAAGAAACAAAACTAGAATCTACACCCATAATTATGACCTGGCATTAACTCAGGCTGACATTTTCTACAATCAAAAAAATCTTTTAGGGAAGCACCACGGAATATTCTAATTTTAAACACACTTCCCTTTTATTTTTTATTAATACTGTAACCAAGTCATTACACGATCTATACAAAAATGCCCCTCAATAATAGAATACATTATCATGTGTTTAAAATGCAGCTTACCTTCTGTGGTCGGATACTCTCACACAGTTCAATAATGAACCAAGTCTTATCTCGACATTTGTTGAGCATGTATTCATCTTTATTAGACTGGATCACCTGAAAAAAAAATTATATATCGGTAATATAATACAGCATAGGTACAGTACTGTATTTCATTATGTAACATCTTCTGATTTTAGCAATTTCTACAAATGAAACTGTTTAACACAATATCTTTTTAGTACAGGTACTGGGAAAAAATCAGTGTCTGTAGAGGTAAGAGGGACTAGCAGACTGAATGAGCCAAGTAACAAATACAAGAGTGAGGCAAAGTTACTTATTGGTGGATTGAAAAAAATACCAAGAACATTAAGCTTTAGACATAAAAGTCCCACATCAAATGCAAATTCCTCCCTCTACTGTTTCACAGGTGAACTTCAAGGTGAGAAGGTCAAGTTTTCTAAGAATCTTATAAATACCAACAAGGACTGGTTCTATAAATCCTGTAACAATATAAAACCCCTACCAACCCTGACTGGACATGAGAATCTGTCTCCCTGGATTATGAATACTGTACTGATCCGTCACCATTTACCCGTAATCAACTGCAATGTAATATGTCTCAGTTTCAAAATGAATTCTACTTCAATGAAGTATTTCTTACCTTAGAAGAATGTGTGGCTTCAGGATTAGTTGTCATTAATTTTGAGCCACAGTCAGGAGAGGCATAATTCTTACTTTTCACTTTTGGCCCTTTACTATGACCATTACCACCATGGCCATTTGTGATAACTGAAAAAGTTAAAAACAATGTATAGTACAAAGATAAAAATATATCTGAGACTACATTCTGTATGTCCTTTTAAATATCCTGTATACAATGTATATTTTTCCCTAAAATACTAACCTTTTATGTAGGTTAATTGAAATATGTTAGGTTATTCAAACTTTTAAATTATGATCTGTGAAACTAACACTCTAAGACTGATGTACAGTTCACAGTATAAACAGCCCTAGAAATTACAGGTAGGTATGTCATAACTGCAGTAAAATTTTGTGATTATACCAAATATTTGATAGAAAAAAGTCAAACAATATAATTATTGTAATTGTATACAGTACTCACCATCATTTTTCTTCTCTGCATTAACTCGCTGAGTAAACTGGCTGTATGTTTCCAGAATATCGGGAGAGTTCTCATCTTCCTTTTGCTCGGCTATCTCTTCAGTAGTCTTGGGGGGCTTTTCCACACCACCTTCCTTCTTTTTCTTGCCTTTGCCTGATTCACTTATGTTTTTCTTAACTTTCTCTGGGTCCTCTGATTTTTCTGGGTCAGAAGGGTCTACATCTTTCGTCTCTCCAGGTTCGGCAGAATCCTCAATTTTCTCTTCAGGCTCAAGGGAAACCTCGATTTTCTCTTCGGACTTGGGAGAAACCTCGATTTTCTCTTCAGACTCGGGAGAAACCTCGATTTTCTCTTCAGACTCGGGAGAAACCTCGATTGTCTCTTCGGACTCGGGAGAAACCTCGATTATTTCTTCTGGAGGTTCAACTACAGGCTGCTCCACTGTTATTTCTTCAAGCTCATCATCCACCTTCTCAGTCTCTATGAATTCTTCCTTCTGCTTATCTGTTTCTTCCACTACTGTTTCTGTAATATTCACCTTCTCGTCTTGCAACTTGTCCACTTCTTTTATAAATTCAGATTTATTTTCTTGAACCTCGTCAGATTTGGGAATATCTTTCACTTTTTCACCTTCATCCTTAACTTCGGGTGATTGGCTTGATTCTTTTATCTCTATCTCTTTGGTTTCTGATTCAACAACAATATTATCTGCTGCCTTTATTATTTTCTCTTTATCTTCAGGAAGTGGTTTGACTTCATCTTCCTTTATGTCATCTAACTTATCAGGATCTTTCATATATCCCTCCTCAGAAACCTTTGCTACCTCCTCTTGAATGTCTTCTACAACTGCCAATTTTACTACCTCTTCCTTTTCCTCTTTCCACTCCCCTTGACCTTCACCATCTTCCTCCTTGACTTCATCTTTTACAGCATCTTCCACCACTTCAATATATTTTTCAGTGTATGACGATGCATTATCATTCTTAGGATCCCTATCCTCTAAATCATGATGATCTTGGTCTATCTTTTCATCATAATCAGAAAATGAACCTTTTCTTTCCTTTTCTATAAGAGTAAAATTCTTTACGGGAATACTTGTAAAGAACTCTTTAGCATCAAGAAAGTGACTCAATTTTCCATCCCTGCTGAAGAATTGTTGCTTATCGTTTATGACCCGGGCAGGGTCGATCGTCACGTTGATTAAAGGCTCCCTTCTACCGTCAATGGCATTCAGCACTTCCTGTTCCACCTCTAGTTTTGTTGCGGCTGGTCGTATACTGAAAAAAGAAAAGAAAAACAGTTAAAAATCCGTTCTGACCAACTAAGCATACTTAAATTTATTACATTTATAAAATCTCACGCCTGTATATCCCAAATTCACACAAATTGAACTTAGCTGGCATGATTAGGGAAATGTAGAGTACCTGTACACGAGAGGTATTCCACATTATCAGTATGTTTCTCCAGCACAAAATCATAATCTGATGATGGAAAATGAGGCACTATATTACACGTGGAGCTCATTTCTAAAAGGGAAAATTTCTAACTGCCTCGCCACTCAACACTTATAAGTTGTTATTGAACTGCGGGAGACCTAAAATCTAATGTTATACGTAAATTCCCCAGTTGTAGGTTTAAATATTGGATTTTACCCACATTTCTTCAATCACAAAAGCAGGTCATATGTTAATTTCCAAGTCAATGTCTGAACAAAATAGATAAAAAAATGGATATTCCTTCCAAAATGAATATAGTCATATTCATTATATGGCGACGAACCTTGACACACATAAACATGTTATATCATAATGACCAAGTTCACAGTCATAAAGGGTGAGCCTCGCAGATAAAGTTTGGGCGATGTGTTTTGTAAGGTTCATGGCCCCGCTAGTAGGAATAGTAGCCGCAGCACGCTGACGCGGATGTGGTTGGAAAGCCAACGACCGTGCTCGCCAGGGATGGTGAATGTGAAAGAAGAACGGTTTGTTATGGGAAAATGGTGAGGTTTGGGCGATACTAATGGCGTATGGAGAGGGGCACGCCAGGGTAGCCAAGCAGCTGATGGATGATGATCTGTGTTGGACTGCAGTACCATCTTACGTAACAGTATGTCCCACCCACACCAGTGACACAACTCTCCGACATCTTAACACTGCCAAAATATTTTCCCTAATCAAAATACTACCCCTGATGATTATGGATATTTAATTTGAATAATGCTGGAAATTACCAAAATTAATATACCCGGAATATCATAGCGTATACCACGACAAACACATTTAAATCATCCAAATTTTTGTCTCGACATTATTTCTCCGTAAAATACAGTGTTAATAGTGTACTCCATAAAGTTATGAGGAAAAAGAAAGATATGAAGCAATAAGTGGTGGCAAAGACGTGCAGTACCTCCACCGAAACGTCCTCCACTATTTTATCACCTCGCCCCCCGAACACACAGTGCCTACTGTACATCCCTTTGCTTACTCTTAAAGCAGAAAGCTGAGAGCATTTTAATCAACTACAATAAAGGCACAGCGCCCGTTTCACTACAATAAGTGAACGAAATCGCAAAAAAAAAAAAAATAAATAGACAATGGAGTATCGACACGGAGTTACGTAACTAAGTTTCCCCAAGGCCCACTGTGGTGTTACTGAGCTTTCGCATTCTTTAACCGTGAATTCTATGTTAATTCATAGGCCCACTGTGATGTTACTGAGCCTTAACATTCTTTAACCGTGAATTCTATGTTAATTCATAGGCCCACTGTGATGTTACTGAGCCTTAACATTCTTTAACCGTGTATTCTATGTTAATGAAGAAAACATATAACAACATAAGCATAACGTAAATGTATTTAGAGTTAAGTTAACGATGTGTTACAACTGAGGCAATAACAAGCAAATTATACAAGAGGGAATTACATGGTATGCATAGCTAAGCCTGTTGAATGCAATTAATAAAGTCGCTGCTTTAATTGTGAATAAATTAACGCTTTTATTCTCAAAAATAAAATTTTTCGATTTATCTATCGGGTAGGTATCGGTGTTCTATTTTATTTGCAGTGGAATATCGACAAGATGGGCGCACTTGTTTTATTGCTGTTCGCCGAGTTTCACCACACAAAATCTTTAAAAAATAAATTTTCAAGGATGCAAATCAAGACTTCATACTTCACTGCTGAAGTTACAGTCTGTCAAATCGTACCAAGCACACATAGAAATTAACAAATGCCCAACTACTGTATTATATCTACCATACTACTGTAACACACATGCCCCCATACATTATACACCAAACATTCCATTTTGTAAGTCTGAAAGAAATATTTCTCTTCAGAGTAGATTTTCAATTTTAATTGACTAATACAGTATTAAAAAATGTTGTATCAATAACAATTAAGTAATGTATACAAATCAATTTCCAGAATTTTCCGTAGAGCCAACAACAACAGTCAGTGAGTACTAAGAAATATAATAATTGAACTAATGAATGGAGTAAATAAAAGAGCATCAGTTTCCTTCCTCTTCGTTCAGGTACTGTACATCCCAAAATAATCAGTTTACGAGAGGAGTTTTAACATGTGTACCCGAGTTCACTTTAAACTCGGACTCCCCCAGTCTGGCACGAACACAACACCATGAAGCCATGTCCTGAAATATTGCACTCATTATCAAAAAATAAATGAGACCTAGACTAGATGCAACCCGGCAGACATGAAGGCGGGGTAAACACACATTTCCTCCATTTTCCTGTTACATAACCCAGGTTCGTCTCGCGCACTACCAGCATAACAATCCTTTACAAAAATAAGGAACATTTCAATCTATAATAATAATACAGTGTTTATATAATATCCTATACATTATATAAATTTATATAGAGATGAAGTAGCATTTATAGATGAATAAAAATACAAAGGAAAAAAATATATAATTGCAGAGCTGGCGACTGTTGGCAACTTGCATGATCCGCGACGCAACAAGGGAACGCGTGACCATGGCAACCACAGCCACTAGACCAACACCACCACTAGTACCACAACTCACTCACACTACATCACGAAAAACATTACAAAAGAAAAAAATATATTCGAGACCTGGAAAAAAGTTAAAGCTGATCATTTGTAGAACAATTTTCTAAAATGTGTCCTCTGATTTTCCTTTACTGCATATATGACAAAATTAGCACATATGGTGCACTGCCACAAAGCCGGTACACTTAAGTACTTTGAGATGGCTAGACAATAATACAGTAATTTAAATGTCAACACAAATTATCTAAAACGGAACAGATTAATATTTTGGAGAGAAAGAGTGGCAAATTACAGTTGCAGACAAACCAAGCACTCCACATGATCGGTATTATACACACCAAACGGGACATGAATAACTATACTGTGTGAGACTGTGCAACTGTAGAGGGAGGGAGGGAGGGGGTGGTGAGATGGAGAAGTGGGGAGGGGAGGCAGAATATCTAAGTGGAGGGGGTGGTGAGGAGATGAGGAGAAGGAAGAGGCAGAGAAAAGAGAGAATGGATGAGGTAAAGTCCCGTAGAGATGACAAGAGGAAGGGAGGTGGGTGCTCACGACTGCCACATAACAGTTCGGTCACTCGACGAACTGTGACGGACACTGGAGCCTTGTAATGCTGTTTACCGCCACTCTCCTGCCTGACTGTGTACGCCCCATACGACCCACAGTGATACAAGTTACCACACCAAGATACTCAGCTCAAACTATAATAATAATAATAAACAAACACAACTTGTATCAATTTATACCGTAAGTTTTCAATGATCATCCATCAATTTTCTCCCAGATAATCAGGTGTATCATCATCATCAAGGACTTTTATCACACGGTAAAAATAATTGTACCCAGTGGGTATCAATAAAAAGTAGATTTATTTACCTGTGCATAACAAGTTAAGTACAAAAAGAAAGTATCACATGAACATTAGGCACCACAGCTTATTTCACCCTTACGTTAACTGGGAGTTTAGATTAAGTTAGGTATTCACTTAGGAATTTAATCACTGGGAAAAAAAAAGCTCGCTGGGGTTGGGGAGGGCTAATCTTAGGTGATCCAAAAATGTTACATAACCAAGCTGACTTACGGGAGTGAACGCTGTTAGTTGGGGCTATGATAGGCTTACCCTCTAGTCTTATAAACTGTACAAGGTAAGGAGGCCTATACGTGGCCATTATATATTAACATCAAGATTTTTCCCAGTTTAAGGTCTCCCTAAAGCATTAAACCACCAGATAGTGAGTATTATGCGCAGGCTGGAGAAGAGCGATGGGAAGGTTCCCTTGTAGAAATAATTTAGTGTCTGGATTATGTAACCGGTCCCTACGGCCACCACAGCCGCAGCGGGTGGCGGTGGTGCCAGCCGCACGACCAGCCACCGCCACACCTTCAAATCCCCTCCCCCCTGCCCCACGCCCTTCCTCATGACACTGCTTCCCTAGTTATCCGATCAGCTGTTACTCCACACCTGAGCTAGTTTATATTGACTTAATCGTGTTCTGATGGTGCTCTTGGATCACCTTACACTTAGACACCCGAGTTTATTTCACCTAAGGATTAACCACTAACGCCGCCTGAGAGGGTTAGATGAGATTAGGTTAGCGTTAGGGTGGTTAATCTTCAGGTGAAATAAGCTGGCATGTCTACTCTTCAGGTGATACGTGTTTTCTTACTGCCTCAAATATCTCACACAACCCACAAATAATCATTATGGAAACAGGCGAAATGAACCCCAAAATTCAATACTCTGCTCTCTACTGCCTCCCCAGCTCATCCCTTGAAGGTTAAGTTAGGTTAGGTAAAGTTAGGTTTTGTTTAGGTTAGGTTAAATGTTAAGAGTTTATAAGGACGCTTCAGTGCCTGTAGCTTATCCCCCCCCCAAAAAAAAACCAACCAATAAATAAAGCTCATAATAAAATACTATACATTAATTACCCGCACAGGTGACCTATATCATTACCTGTACTCTACCGCTGAGACAAACAACACACGCTACTGATATCCGTCCTCTGGGTAATATACAACAACAACTTTATCTGTTAAAACCTGGGTCATGAGATAAATACGATAAATTAATCAAGTGACTGTGACACCCCGAATATTTGACCATAAAGAGGTAAGGGAATATAAGGTATTGTCTTGGAAACTCCGGGTCATAGTGTTTAGCCCTTATTATATTACCAGCATCAGTTCAAAACACCCGGTTTTAAATATCGTTAATATTCGCCAAGAAAATATTTCACCTGCCT